CGCCAACACCACCAACATCAATTAAACATGTTAAATGACAACAATTTGCAAAACAAAAATCGCCAAATGCAGTGACTTTTCTTGGGAATGGAAAACCAAAAAGATTTGAAAAGTCTTTAAATGCATATTCTCCAAATTCAATTTCCCACTCTTCAGGTTTATTTTTAGACGTCACTGCTTTTAAATTGGCATTTTGAAATGGATTTTTATTTATTTGCACCTTCCCTTTTTATATTAAAAACAAGTTCTTCTAAATTTGTATTTAAAGAAAATGCATCTTCGCCAATAACTTTGATTTTATTTCCAAACTCCATTTTTCTAAAATTGCAGTTATAAAAGGCCGAGGTGTTTATAACATTTAAATGACTTGGAAATAACACAACGTCATCTATTGAGCTATTTTTTGTTGTTTTAATTATTTGAAGGTTTTTGCAATTACTAAATGCGTTATTTGAAATTACTTTAAGACACTCTGGAAGGCAAATTGATTTTAAATTCGAGCAATTATCAAACGCGCAGTCATTAATAGAAGTAATGAAGTCGGGTAATGTCACTTCACTCAAATTGTTACATTGACTAAAAATGCGATACCCGACAAACCCTTTTGGTATCTCAGAAAATGGTAATCCAAACATTTGAGGTGTGATTGTGCCGCCTTCATAAGTGACAACTTTGAGGTTTTGACAACCGAAGAAACAATAATTACTTATAGTAATATTATAAGTTTCAAAAACGACACGTGTTAATTCTTTGGAATTTTTGAAAGCATTTGCACCTAAAAAACTCAGTGATTTTGGAAAGACAATTTCTTTTAGTTTGCAGTTTTCAAATGCATTTGAATCGATAAACTTGAGTGTTTGGGGAAATGACACGGATGTGAGTGCAATGCAATTACTGAACACTGAACTGTGGATTGTGACTAAATTACTGTGAAAACAAAATTTGGTTGGATTGGCCGACTTGTCGCCAATGCCAATTGAATCAATTTTATATAATGAAAATGGTTGATTGAATAAATCTTTATATGAAATTGTAATGTTTTTATATTCAAAAGTAGTCAAGTTTGATATATTTAAGTATGCAGTGGGATACCAAATAATTCTTCTGTAAAAGGTCTCATCTGGGAATGTAAAATCTTTTGGAGAATACACATGAAATGTTTCTAAATTTGGAAAGAATTTTCGTGTTGTTGAAGTCAGAGGAATTGGGTTATAGTGGAATTTAAATAGTAAAGTGGAATACTTTTTACAAACTTGTTGAAGAGAGAAGTAGTCGAATATCGATACAAAATATTTGGAAACTATCATCACGTGAAACGGATCAAGTTGGATTTGAGGCATTAATGAATTATTGTTTTTTTTAACTAAAAGTTCGATTTATTAAATTTGGATTATGTTTTTAAATGACAGTTAAAAAAACGAAAAAAGTTGTAAATGTTTTATATTTTTTTGAAATCATTTTATATAGCAATTTTATAAAACGACAAATGTTTGTGATAAACGTTTTGTAGCCACTCGATATGTAATTTCATCAACTTTATTCACATAAAATAATAGAGCGTTTTTATCACAAATATACATACTTACAATTGAAGAAAATAGTAAGTTTGTTTTTATTATTATTGCTTAAATAACCAACTTCAACAATTGTCACTAAAAATAAGTATATTATAATGACGGTTTAATGCAATATTAAAATATTATAATAATAAAACATCATAATATTCAACGTTAAATATTACTTAATTTGTAATTGACTTAAAAATTACAAAAAAACAACTTTTTTTGAATTTTTGTTTTTTATAATCAACTTTGTCTTTTTTTTATTAAAGACCAGATCAGATATTTTAGTTTTAAATTATGGAGATTATTTAATAAAAATGTTATTCAAAAAAGGTTTTTGTTATAATAGTTCAGCAAATTAAAATGTTGTGTTTTAATGGAAAAAATTACAGGAAAAAACATACAATAAACTTTAACGTGCTAAATTTTAGAAGTAATTAATTATATTATTAAAACTATGTTTTGGTTATGTACTAAATAATTTTATTATAATATTATATCATAATTTAGACTGTGTAGTTTTCAAACTTTTAATTCCACTTTTCAAATAATAACTACTTAATAATTAACAACAGAACAGTATTTATTACAAATCAATAATCTTGTAAAAATTGTCCAACAAATTGCTTAAAAAACAAAAGATCTGGTAAAAATTGTTATAAAAATGACGATATGAAAAAATCCAATAATAAATAAGATATAAACTACACGATTCCACGTCACTTCATTTGTTAAATAGATAATTCAGAACTAAATAGGCACCATTGTTGTATGAGTTTCAATTCAAGAATTCCTTATGCCACTTTTATTAAAAACAAGAAGGTACTTGAGAACAACCAAAAGGTTATTTACATCAAAAAGGATGTCAAGAAAAATGGAACGAAGATACCAAAAGAAGTTTCCATAATTAGTAAAAATGCCTTTTCAAGTGCTGATATGACTTCCATTACCATTCCTTCCAATGTCACTGAACTTGAAGACTCTGCCTTTGAGAGTAGTGTAATTACTACACTCAAAATTCCATCAACTGTGAAAACTATTGGACGATCAGCCTTTGCTTATAACAAAGAGTTAAAAGAAGTTACATTACCAGAGGGTATGACTGTTGTTCTAGAGTCTTGTTTTATGAATTGTGCTCAACTTGAAAAAGTGAATCTTCCTCAATCCTTACAGTTCATAGGGGACAACGCCTTTGAAAATTGTCATTTAAAAGAAGTGAAAGTGCCCGAACAATGTACGTTAAGACAAAACTGTTTTAATTCGAACAAATTTTTAGTCAAAGTTACACTGAAAGGTATTTCAAATGTTCCACCAACAGCTTTTGCTAATTGTGAAATTCTTAAAAATGTTGAAGTTGATGCAAATTTAAAGGAAATTGGGGACAACGCCTTTGAGTCTTGCACAAATCTTGAGAATTTCAATTTCACAGAAAATATCGAGTACATTGGCAGTTCAGCATTTCAAGCGTGTGAGAAACTGAAGACTGCAGTTCTTCAGAAAAAGGTCAAATTCATTGGGGATTTTGCGTTCTCGGGGTGTATCAATTTAGAGGAAGTTGTTGTTGAAAATGAAAATGCTTATATAGGTCTTGGTGTCATTGCCAAGTGTGACAACTTAAAAACAATAGAACTTACTAAATATCACAAGAATGTTCAAATTGAAGTGACTGAAAATGAGTTTAAAACACTGAATAAAGTTGGTCTGAAACTCGATGAAAAGTTAATAGAAAAGGTGACCAATCGCGATGAAATAAGAGACAAACTAAATCAACCAGACTTCACAAAAGTCAATACAATTAACAACTTTTATGATCAAAATATTACTGAAATTGACTTAAAACCATCTGTGGAAGTCATTGGAGGCAATGGATTTTCAGCTGGTGAGTTGACTTCGCTCTTCATCCCATCGTCTCTTGTATTGAGTGACACTGTGAGTGTCACAAATTGTTCAAATCTAGAAAATATAGTATTTCCAAATTATTTGAATAGTTTCACACCAAACCCACTTGCCGAACAGAATTTAACACAAATTAAACTTCCAAATGGCGTCACCCGAATTAATCACAAGACTTTTTATTACTGCAAAATTGAAGAAATTGAACTGCCGAATGGCGTTAAAGAAGTTGAAGATGGTGCTTTTGATAGTTGTGTGAAATTATCAAAAATAGTGCTTCCACAAACCGTCACACAAATCACAGAAAAGTTTGCAGTGAAGTGTTATAACTTAACAGAAATTGTTGTGAGTGACAACAAAATATTGGACGTCGCCAAAATCTTAAAATTGAATCAGAACACTTCAGAGGAGCTTACGAGTATTCCCAGTGACATCACAGAGATCAACTCAAATTTAAATTTAGACTAAGAAGTGACTCAATTAATTGTCCCAAATAGTGTCACAAAAATAGCAAATAATGCGTTCTATAAATACGACGCCCTTCAAGAATTAACTCTTCCAAACACTTTAAAAAAGGTCGGAAAACACATTTTCTCGAGTAACACAGCTTTGATTAAAATTTGCGTAGGAAACAACACCAAAGAGGACTTCGACAAATTCGTTGTGAGCAACGAGTGCCATCCACAGTCAGGCGTTTTTTGTTTTTGCCGAATTTTTAATTTTAAAAACAGGGAACTAGTGTTAACTCTTTCCCATAAAAACACAATTTTTTTTCAAATAAGACTTTTACAAAAAAATGAAAAAAATTTTCGAAAATTTTACCAATTTTTGGACTAAAAGCAAAGTTAATTGTTGTTTTTTGTAATTATAATTCTATTCGGTATTATAAGCAAATATTGTTTATTTTTGTGTTTCCATTAAACGAAAATTATTTGAAACAAACACTGAAATAATAACAATTTTTTTATTTAATCCAATAATATATGATAAATTAGAT